GTTATCCGTTATCTTTTATCATTGTTGCCGAGATCTCTGCTCCAAAGTGCGATATGAGAAGCAGTCATCCTTTGGGTGCCAAGTACCTTGTAGTAGCACCCGACACAGGCCGGTACCACGTCTGGCCTTTTCCAATATAAATTAAAAGACAAGGCCCCCTCCCCCCCCCCCCCCCCCCAAACGTCATCACAAGTGGATTCACGAGGAGTCGCAAAGCTTGCGTCAGCATCGTCAACAGCGCCTTTTAGAGAATCTTACAACGAGCGTGACGTCAGCACGCGGCGACGCAAAGACGGGCGCTTTGCGGTGGATCTCGTGTAGCTTCGGCGTGTTTGCCGCTTGGGTCCACTAACGATGACGTCATGCACAGGCCTTGTCTTGTAGGTGGTATGGCCTCTACCCACTGTCCTCACCTGAAACACGGTGACCGTGGCCCAGAGGAAGGTGTTGAAATGCTTGCGGTCGCAGAGGCACTTGACGGCCGGGTTGTACAGGTCGGCACACGTGCAAAGCGTCGTCCCGTCGGTCCGGACGCAAAACTTACCGCCGAACAAATGCATCCCCAAGCAGCTGCGAGTACATACAGGGTCACTGACCCGCTCCACGGCAGTGCAGACTCCCCCAGGGTCCTCTTCACTGACAACCAGATCCCCCAATGTCAAGATGTCTCATATGTTCAGTAAAAGCCCTAGGGCGAGCTTTTTCTTAACTCTCAATTCGTCTGCACTGCGAGGTCGCCACGGTTTTCTGCGTCCCTGTTCAAGGAGTACATGGTACACGGCAAAGGAAATTGAAGTTCGATTGCCAGATCGAGGGATCTGGAATTTTTGACACTGATCTCACGCGAACAAGTGAGAGAGTTAAGAAATTCTGAAGGTATCTGGAGGGTTCGGAAACTCGGTTTTCGTGTTTGATATGCCATATCATAATATTCCACTTGACTATTGGAGATAGATCAGCACACTTCAGAGGAAAGAACTTCTGGACAAACTGCTACTTCTACACTCTAGTGCTATCAAGCACAACGCCTACGTTGTTTTTCTTTTTTTGTGTAGGCGGAACACTTCCCATTGTCATACAACTAGCCTCTGAAAGTCTGGTTTCGTAATTTTACCATTCATCTTGTTTTCAACAAACGCAGATGGTTTCTGGTGCATAAATGTCGCTACGCTCACGGCAACTGCGTGGTCGCGAAAACCGTGGCGCCTTCGTGGTAACGCGTGCCACGGGCAGTGTGCCCTCCGCGAACGTACGCACAAGACATGGACCTCGCGTGCGGCCTAAACAAAAGACCACAAGCGGACAGACGTCACGAGACCCAGCACAGACACGGGACGACCACTGATGCCTCGGCCTCCAAGAGAACGCCGGTCACCGCTGCAACGTGCAGGCTTTCCCGATCAACTCCGACATCTCAGGGGCCGTGAAAGAGCACCCTTTCTGCGCTACCTCATAGAAATACCTTCATAAACCCTGCTCCGCGATAGTTTCTAAATGCCAATTACTACTTATTTTTTTTTTTATCAGCGTAACCAGTGAGAAGGACGAGCTGAACTACGCTAAGACGCTGGTGCAGTTACAACGACAAAAGGGAATCCACACATTTTGCCGCTGGCGCTGCCCGACAGATGGAGCCTGGCACCACCCAACCTTTATACAGCCTTGTGTCACGAAATGGGCATTGGTGATTTGTGTTCAGTGTGCATCGCGATGCAGTATTCACGCTGCCAGTTCTGGCTCTGTGGAGCTTAATAATTAGCTCGAATCGGTTAATATATGAAGATGGCTGTTCCGCTCCTACTTTGCAATGCAATAATTTCGGCCAAGCAAGCAACGCACACAGTAACCAGTCACCTGTTCTCTTTACTTTTATGTGATCTACATAAAACTGTAAGGAAGTTACGCATAATTCAAATTTGTGTACATAACAGGAATGACTGAAGAGTTAATGTGAAGTTGAAGATTAAATATCTCACACATGTAGAACGATTTCTTTCGCTATTGCATCTTCGGAAGTTTTTTTTTTTTTTTTTTTTACACAAGTTTAAATATTGATGCTTGAAGACACCATCCGCAGGTGCTATTTCTAACCTGATGAAGGCAATTATAATTGCCTTCAGCAGATGGCAATTATAATCTAGATGAATGCAGTATGCAACATCTAATGATGCTTCGACTGCATCCAGAAAGCAAAACCAGAAAGGCTACACTTTACAGATATCAGTACGCGACATACAGCTTCAGGTACTTCACAGAGCTCGAGATTAAGTCAAAAACTGCAGTTTGCATCTGAAACTATTCATAATACTGAAAGCCGAAGCTTTGTAGGCTCATCTCTAGTGAGGTTTGGATCAAACGCTACTGTTGTATAGAGAACATATCATTACAATAAACTAGCGTCTTTAGCAACAATCTAGCAGGTTACAGCGGATCATTTTGACGTTTGTATGCGCTACCTTGAGCGTAATAGCACATTATCTTTCTCACGTGTTAGCCATAGTCACTACACTAACTGCTATAAACGCAGAGTTGATCGAGAAATGGTTTCCAAAAAACATCACCAACCACGTTACGATCACTTTATCGAAAAGGACCAATATGCCTCGTCATTTCCGTTCGGCGTCTCCGGTAAAATAAAAAAAGAAACCAGACTGTCACGAGAGTGCCTCAAGTGACATCGAAAGAAGCTCAGAAGACAAGGGCAAAAGAAAAAGCAAAAGGCCAGACGCAGGCACGGATCGGAGAGCGAGCGGGTTTTGGAGCACACCTAAAGCCAAGCTTGCACGTTGCCTGAGGAACATATATGGAACATACAGACACCGGTCCACAAACAAAAGCCATGTCACAGGTCTGGCGGGGAACACACAACATTGAGCAGACGCAGTCAAAAGAAAAACACAAGCATACACACTTGAGCTAGATATCTAGAACGGAGCCTAAAGAAATTTACATTTCCTATTATTCAGCGATCATAGGTGCGCAATACCCGCATGTCCCTTGTTAGTTATGGCTCTCACCTCTTTTTGTCGCTGTCTTTTTGCGCATTTGCTGCTGTGATGAATTGCCAACTCGCCCAAGCTTCCATCTTAACTTAGATATCTAGTTGATTTTTCGAAAAACATTATATGAAATTTTATGACGTTTTTCCGATTGTCAGTCTGAGCAATTCACACTACGTTCGGTTTTCTAGCGAGTTGGATAACCAGGGGTCGGCATGCCAAGGCACTAATTTAAAAAAAAAAAATACCTGACTAGATGAAACTTTATGATAGCGTGACGTAGGATGGGGGGGATTTCTATTTGCTCACAAAATTCGTTTCCCGATATAAGGTAAAATAAATTGGGCTAGTTCGCTGATCATCAACAAATCATTAAAAATAAAAGCGCACAACAAAGAAGCTAGGGCCAAAGGTGCACAGGGCAAATGCCCGAGTTAACTAAGGTGTACAGATAGATATGAGTAACTTTTATGTGAGAATTTTTGTATATGTGCTTAACCCGAAATCTACAGATATTTTCAATTAACCTGTACGAGATAATCGAAAATACCATAAGAAAAGAATGACTCTCGTATAAATATTATTCTCGAGAGAAAAAAACAAAGACGTGTCGAACACTCGTGTCTTGTAACACATACACACACAAACAAAGATGGAGGACATCAAAGCAGCCAAACAGCCAGTTGAAACACACACGCACACACACGGACGAATCTCAAAATGCCACAAGCCATGAATGCACTCGGAGCTGCAAGGGGCTTGCATTTGGTTTATGGACAGGAACTCGCCAGTCCGGGCCGAAGGGCCGACCAAGTATGAGGGGTGTCTTTTTTCTCTCGTTTTTTTGTGGCTACGGGAAGGATACAAACCAATGACGTACGCACGGGGTGATCTTTTGTCTACGGTGTGCAGATTGACAACACCGATGCGGGTCTTGACAGGGCAGGCGGTCACAACTCCATTAAGACGGTTCTGGCCCTTCTGCGATTGCTTCCATCAGCTCTCGTTTGGGGAACTCGCTCGCGAATGCGGCTGCACAGCTTAAGTATAAACGAATTACTCGGTGCTCAATATCTATCACCGCTGGAAGCTTATTGACTTAAAGTGGTGCCCCAGCCGTAAAAAAGAAACAAAAACAACACCATATTTTTTTTTTAGATTACCACCCAGTAAAGTGGCAGAAATCACGTTTTCCAAATGCAATGCATGGCCTTATTTTGGAATATTTTCATCCCCAGTTGGTGTGCAGTTTGAAGCGAGGCTACACAGAAGCAAAAGCGATGGCATCCTTCGGAGCAATCGCAGAGTTACCAGAACCGCTCATCTACCGGGTAAGACAAGTGAAGCAGATGAATTGGAAAGGTGTTGGAAAGGTCCCGGCCCTCCGCTCTGTGTCGCATAACCTTAGTTTCTTAGATTTGGGAAGTATACGTATAGGCGCGTGCTTACAGAATTGTCCACAGGCTACTCTAGATCGCTTTGTCTCCCCTTTGTGAACCATCATTGTAAGAATTAAACTGAAAACGGTGCACCCCTGGCTGGCGCCGCTTTTTAATCGGTGGTCAATAACACCTTAAGGAAACTGTAAAATCAGTCCGTCTAACTAGTTTACCCTTAAAAGAATCAATCCTATGCCTTGGTATTAAGCATGTGTCTCGCAAATTTATTTGAACATGACTCGCAATAGTTTCAGTGGGGAGATTTTTTTTCTTAAATTTTGCTCTTAGGCTAACATTTATATTACAACGGAATAACTTCTGGTATTTCGTCCGGTGCAAAGTGATTCATTGAACAAAAAAAAAATTGATTCTTTTAAAGCTGGATCAAAGAAAACTAATAACATAAATTTGGTCTGGCTTCAGTCTGCACCATTCAGTATGGCTCTTTTACGAGGCGTTAAGCGAACCCCCGAGCACGGCATGGACACGGAGGGGGCACCGTTTTCTGATAGTTCTGATAGGACCTCCGCAGAGGCTTAGCAGGCGGCGTGGAACACGGTACCTGAAACACGGTAACTAGCGCCCAGAGGAGGGAGTCAAAGTTCTTGCGATCACACTGCACGGTCCCATCGGGTTCCTTGACACAGAATTTGCAGCCGAAAAGGTTCATGCCCAGAACGCTGCGAAATAACGTTTTCGAGCGCCGCCGTACGTGGAAGAGAGACAAAAAGAAAAGCGCCACAGGTCAAAGGTCTCTTCGGAGTCCGCACGCACGACTCAGAGCAGTAGGACGTCGAGATCGCGCGTGTTGGAGCATTCAAAAAGACTGGAATGCAAAAGGCGTGTCATTAGTCGGGTTAAACCGCAGTTCAATATGGCTGCCAGGCTCTCAAATATATCCTGTTTAAGAAGCCTGAAATTTCGACGCTGAACTTACAGGTCGCATAGAGGCCCGCCCGCCGCTTCATCCTTCTTTTCTTTTTTTGGTACGGCCTGCTATCAGTTTTTTGACGTAATAAAGGAAGTATGGTTAGGAGGAACAATGTTAGTGGATCAGCGGGTTAATAGCCAGACATACATAACAAATACAAGGACAAGAAGCGGTTATGGAGTGCGGGAATTCCATGAAAGCGGCAGTGACGGCCATATCCGATGAAGACAGTAATGATCACGGAAGAGGGCGATTCTCAATCATAGTTTTTTTTTTCTTACCGATATTGTACTATTGTGGCTTCAGCGCAGCACTGCTTTGATATTTTGTCTAGTTTATCAATCACCGATGACTTTGTATAAGTTCCTATCGCAACGTGCTTCTCTGATGTCGTTATATCATAACAGAATAAACCAAACAAGGATCCGGCCCAATAGCATCACAGAAAGACACATCTTCTATGCCACATATCCCCATCGCAAAAATCTTCATATCTCACACTGGAAGTTCTCAAGATTAGCGAATTCCTGCAATATCACATGGCTAAACGTTGTTGTTGTTGCCTTAAATTCTAGCCCGTTGAGAGTGTACCCTAGATGAATCTAAAGTGCTAACCGATTTCCCTATTATTTTAAGTTGCTCCATAAAGTTAACCAAACGTAGCATTGTCGCTTCATCACGAAGAGGCTAGTTTGGTACACTAATCTATACTACCTTGCCCAAACTATGACATTCCAGGACACTCATAAAATTTGATTGCACCTTTAAGTCCTGGGCTAATAACTGAAAAAAAAGGGTTAAAAGGGCCTCGTGGCTCCAAAGTGAGGCGTCAGCCTGCGCACTTCCATCTATCCGATTCTAAAATTGCAAGAGGGGCCTACAATCTGACGCAGCCCTATTGCAGTGACTTTTGTAAGGTATATTAGACATGAAACATTTTATAACCTTGGCTATGACAATGCAGATGCGCTTTGCTTTGTCATTACAAAAGATAACGGTATTGTCTACCATCTCCGTGAAGTCTAAATGCTATGGCCAGGCAAATGAAAAAGTTTGACTAAGTCCTGCGAAGCGCAGAGGGTTGGAGTGAGTAGACACTATAATTTAGTTAAACATAGCAGTATTTGCGTTGTGTATGTTCAAAGGAGGCGAGCCATTTTCTCGCAATGAAAGTCCCGAAAATCACGTAGTGGGAGTTTTAGAAAAGGGAGCGGGGGTAGGGGGTTCTTACATCTTGTTCAGAAGCAGCAGTGAAGTTAGCATATTTGAAGCACACAACGTACCTTTAAATGTCTTAACTTTCTTTACTGAGTGAGATATACTGCTTCCTTTCCTTATATCTTACGTAAAATAGGTTTTAGTGCCTCCAAATATTCGCTAAAAATGTAAATGAGTGAGATTTTTTTTTGGACACTCGAAGGTTGCGTTGGATGAAAAGAAAGGCATGATGTTACTATGGTGCCTGGAACGCGTTTTAGTGAGCCACAAAAAACGGTTCCTCGATTTCTGCCTGACGATGTCTAAAAATTGGCATGTCGCTGGCAGCGATCCTGGCGATGTGACGGCAGTGGAGTTGGTGCATGGGGTAGACGTCTGTTAACACCGTAGGTCGCCTTCCAGCTTGACGGTCTACGGAACTTTCGGAAGTCTGAAGTTGGGACGCCGCGACAACAGCGACACTCGTGTTCGCTGGTGCTTTTCCGCACCATTTGCACGATCAACCGCCAGGGTCGCGACGTTCGAAATCTTGACACTCCGGATTTCGTGGCGTCATACGTTGCCAGTTCGTGACCACTTTCGGTCTATAGAGGGGATATGATGTTAAGCACACCGGCCGGAGACACGTCCCGGTCACCATGATGTTACTAATGATACGTTGAAATAAATATATTTTGGACGTGTACTACTGGAATATTATATTAAAAATTACACGAGTACACTTAAGACTGCTACGTGTAGGAAATCAAAAGCCAGTCAAGGATGACGTCTAGGACGACGTAGAGGACGACGCCTAGGACGACTTCTAGGACGACTTTAAGAACGACGTCTAGGGCGACGCCTACAGGACGACGTCTAGGACGACCTCTAGGACAACGTCAAGAGCGAGGTCTAGGACGACGTCAAGAACGACGCCTAAAGGACGATGTCTAGGAATTCACTTTGTTTCCTTTTAGGTCGCTTTGTCATCCTTCTTAATTTCATTGCCTCTAATTCGCCTGAGTGGTCACGTAGACGTTTTGGCACCTTTCCTGTCGCCGACGTGTTTTTGCTCAAGGATTTTGAAGGTCGACTGAACGATGAGACATATAAGGCTTTCGCCTAAATAATATTATTTTGTTACCGAAGTCCTTACTGAGATGTCCTATATTGCCACTAAATTCACCAGTTTTAGCACGCGACTGGTAGTACGTTGACTCGAACGCATCTTGAGGCTGGTGTTTACCATTCTATTCCACACATTCATCGAAAGCGGTCCCAAAGTGGCAACACATTGCGTCGCAAGAGCAGTGTGACATGCTGTAGGATGTCAGAATCCTGGAGGTTGGACGTAGATATTTTGGCGGAAAAGGCGAGTGTGACGCGTGGCTCGCTGTCGTCACGGCATCCCATTTTGCGTTTGCTTTCGGTTCCCATTGACTGTCTGGATGCAGAGCGACCCACAGCATAACAGGCGTCCACCGCATCCACCTGTGCTGCTGCGCCGCCGCTGCCAGAATCGCGGCAGTCAAGGGCATTGGACTTCTATGAAGTCATCAGGTAGAAATCGATGGAGGGACCATATTGAAGACGCGGTAAACACACCATCCGGGTACATGATCTAGGCACCACGATGGTAAATAAGGTTACATTACATTTCATTGAATAGGCGCGATGACTTTCAGTTAATTCAGTGGTGTCTATAATGAAAACCTCGGGTTGTTCAGGTCAGTTATAGAAAAACACAGGTTTAAACAATGACAGTCACTAATGTTTTTTTAGATAAATGGGGATAGTTTGATGAACATAAGAGCACGCCGCACCACAAAAAAAAAAAAGATGAAGCAGACCCTCATTGATCAATTGATAGGCATGAATTATCATTAACACGACGGAAACTTCAAGCCTCGCTAGCTCAAACTCAAAAATAATCCGAAGCGAAACGTTTCTCCGAGTCTGCGGGAATGTTTCTCAAATTATGAACAAGGCTGTCTTGAAAATGCTTTCCTATCTCCGGTCTAGAAACAGAGCGAAATCCGACCAAATAGGTATTTTTTTAGCAACTGTTGCAGCGAATGTGTGGGTTGCTAGAGGCATTGAGAGACAGAGACACGGGAACGCTGGCTCAGAGGGTGGTTATAATAAACATTTATTCGTGCCATCAAAGCGTTCCGCAGACTTGTGTTCTCGCTCTTGTGCCTCTTATAACGCCAACTAAAACTTTCCAAGGCGACCCGCGGACGACGTACTAGGGCTGAGAAAGAGATAAGTTCCCAAATCTGAGGCAGCTAAATTAAAAACGACGTCGCGCACTGGTACGGTTATGCACGCCAAAGAACGGTGGCACGGGTTTCCGCATGGACGGTACTTAACTGGTACGCAGCTGCCTCGCGGCGCTAGCCGAAGTGCGTTGACGGGCTATGATGGGATTCGTTAGCAAAGAGCCGTGGCTCTGCTACCCCCGGCCACCGGCCGGGCATAATCAGAACCCGCTTGCTACGTGAAGCGCGGTTCCACACAAGCTTTAGACCGTATGCCAGCGCAGTAGTTCTCAAGGCCTCTGACTGAATGCCCGTACTGTGCTTCTCCAAGGCTCTGAATAGAGCAGAGCTCCAAGGCTCTGCTCTATCGGAAGCTATGCCCTTGTAGGCGGATGCCAACTGGTAGTGAGGCGGCGCTAAACAAGCACCCCGATACAAATAACCCTGGTAAAGGGAGCGTAAACACCGCTGCAAAGGCCTATCAATGAAGCTGTTCGTACCATAATATTAAGGTTGGCTAGTCGGTTCAACATGCTGAAACTATAAAACGCCAGTACAGACGAGGACACGAGGTAGACATGAGAGTTTGAGTGTGCATTCCAAACTCAGAAAAAGAGCGAATGTGAATACCTGAATCTGCGCTGCTCTCAAGAAATCACGTGTCCATAAGGCGAGACAGAGCCTTGAAACACAAGTGGAAAAACTCAAGACGCCTGGATATCTTGACGTTGTCGAAAATATGATTAGCTCAAAACAACAGAAATAAAAAAGAAAGAGCAGGAATTGACGCCCACCAATTATGCCATACATATTTCATAACATCAAAACGGTTGCATCTAGATTTTACATTTCTCAGTATTTTCTGCACCGGACAAGCTGAAGAAACTGTGCCCTCAGATCAATTCTCCGTAAAACCATCAGAATGACTGGAAAGCGCAGCACAAGCATAGATATATACCATGCCGCAACGCTATAGTAAACAAACAGTCAATCACCTGCTGGAAAGTTTATGTGGAACGATCTGACCGGAGTGTAAATACAAGACTCCGGGAAAATGCAATATCTCTCAACTCCTCACCGCAGGACATCTCGCAATACACGCACGTGATTGCCACTGCACGCCGATCTTTAAAAAAAAGAAGAAAAAAAAAAACAGTGTTTTGTGGCTGTACCGTGAAAAAAATATCAAAAGAACTTTGCGAGGCACAGACCATCAAGGGTTGTGGTGACGTCTGTATCAGCGCGCCTTTTGTGTCCCTGTCAGACAAAGAACTATTGTACCACCACCACGCTACATAAGGTGTCAGGTATCTTGTTAGGTGGATGATCATCTCAAACTTCATCCTTGAAAGTCATCTTGCAATAATTTTTTAAAGTTATATTTTATACATTGTTTTAAAAATAAAATACTGTTTTTATTTGCACTACTTTTACGCATATGCATGCAACTCAACAGTTGCTATGATTGCTCTGTCTTTTATTTCCGTTTTTTTATCTTCCGTATAACTTCTATCACTTCTGCCTCCTTTTCCTTAGTTTTCTAGTAAAACGCCAGTTGTGAGTATAGCGCTGTCCTGTCTACTTTCTCCCGTTTCGATCTGGATGAGCATCGTACCGCCGTGCGGCCGTGTATCCCTACTGCGTGGTGCACATTAAAGACCCCAGGCTGGCGGTTGCACTACACTGGCTAAAAGGCTCATCTACAGCTGAGACACCAGACGTCCACCGAGGCAGACTAACTTCCGGTTGTATAAACACACACACAACAATTTGCCTACTTCATATCCTTGCCTGTCCTTTACGTTCTTTAGTTTTAGGAAGCTGTAAGCACCGAAAGCTCCCAGGGCGATAAAGCTCAAGTCCAACAAGAGTGACAAACAGCAACAACCGATGCCGACCAAGCTCATGACGCGCAGCATGAAAGCGAAGGTAGGCTTCGAGATATTGCAAGCTTGCGGAAGACGTCTTCGCGTGCAGAAGTTGGTCTTCGTTGGTTGTTTGCTATTCTTGCTCAAACGGGACATGTACATAAAGGATTGAATTAGTGTCGGCATCCGGCGGAGTAGCGCGAGCTATTGCTCTAGTTTTGCTGCGTCTACGCGGTTCTCAAACCAGGCTACGACTCGACCTATAGACCTTTCCACAAGGGCGCCGCCATCTTGAGTTGTCGTCACTTCCAGTATGAGCGAAAACATTACTTTGCCGTCACCACGCCAACAGAAGACATTAAGGTTATAAGCCTAACCGTCACACATTCTCGTTTTGGTTCCCCTCTATTTTTTTTACTAATTACAGGTTGAAACGTTTTACTATTTTGTCGTCGCCGATACTGGAAGTGACGACAATTCAAGATGGTGGCGCTCCTGTGGAAAATATCTATAAAAAACGTCGCCATCAGCGTAGGGGCTTGGCGTCGGGGGGACAGTAAAGGTGGCTGGTGATAAAGACCGGGCACAGCGTGACGTCGGAGCGAAAAAGGCCCAAGCAAGGAACACGGGGGCCAGGCGGAGGCGGGTAACACACGCACGTGCAGAATACGTGGGGGCCTACGGCGTCGTGTGCGCACTTCCGGCACGTGTTTAGTGGAGGGAGACAGCAGCCGGCAGGGAGAAAGAATAGGGTACGTCCCTACTGGAAAAGAAAAACAAGGCTGAGCAACATGTTCCCTCTTGGCCCAATAGCGATGGCCACAGGAAATGTATATTAATAACACCGAAAGTCTAATATTCGACATATGACATAAGGTGTCATTTGAGATGCAATGTTTTCTCAACCCAATAATTTAAAATTTTTAAATTGTGCGAGTAGTGAGGGGGCTTCGTAGGGACGTCGGTACAAGTTAGAGGAGAATTGTTTTTCTCTTCCACTAGGAACTGTAAAGATAACAAAACTAATTAAAAACATTGGACTTAAAACGTTAAAAAAAATTAGCATTGAGGCTCCCGGTCCGAAGTCTGTGCAGGTGACGAGGCGGGCGTTGTGGTCTGTTTCTTAGTTTTAACTAAACAATGACATACTAAAAAGAACGTTTTTTAACAACTGACGCGTAAATGTTAGAACATTCACTATTACTGACTGGCAACCATATTGCAACTGTGGTAATATACATAGCTTGGACATCTAGATTAACAAAGGTAAGGCATAAGATGGGACATTTTATCTCCTCTAATAAACACATTTTTAAGAAGTAATAAAAAATACATAAAAAACACAGTACCTTAAAATCAAAGGAACCATTTTTTTCGTCAATCTAACAGAAAATCTTTGAATTGAAGGTACAATAGAACCTATATGTTTTGTTTCTCGCACAATCAACTTGAACAATTTTAATGACATATTACAGCCGGCGTCACTCAGGGTCACTTGTACAATGCTAACATTTCTACACAGAAATAACTTAATGAATGACGACACCCGCCCTTGCAGCTGCATGGCAGGGAGCAATTTACTGGAATTGACGTTAGGAAAAACAATGGCAATGACATGAAAAAATAAAATAACGACTAATTGTAGTACTCACAGTATACATGTACAAGCAAAGTGATTTAACGAGTAAAAAGCCACTCGAAGATTGGTCCGCTAACAAAATGGCACAAAATAAAGTTCTACAAAGGTAAGTAAAGTAGTAACACTTTATTCGCCGAAAAGAAGCTACCGTTATTGCTTAAGTGAAAACCGATACTAAGAATACAATACTACCTCAGGTTTACCCCATTCACTACGCAATGCTGGACGACGCGTTTTATCTGATGGGGCATCAGTAGCGCCTCAACGATCTGTGTAAGGATAGGAAAGGCTAATCATAGCCTCCTCTTTACTCACAAAGCTTGGCAGTTTGACGACGGAGCCATACAGTGCCCGGTCGCAGATTTGGAGCGCGAGAATCTGGTAGCAGAGAGCATTTCTGGTATTCAGCGCACAGCTTCCGCAACGGCGAGGACCCGAAACGTGGTTTTCAAACACGAGGAGACAAGAAGCGGTAACGCGAAGAACGCGAGGAGTACGAGCGGACATTCCATCGCTCGGAAGAACTGTGTTTCGGCGTCTCGCCGCAGCGGGGCGCCCGTTACACGCCTCGCCTTTCATTCGTTGTCTGCCGCTCAATCTTTTCACTTTCGGCGGCCGCGTCTTGTGGAGATCTGCCAGGCTTTGTCAGTATAAAGAAGGCTATGGCCTATTCTATTCATTGCTCGTTTACGTTTCGCAGAAACAAGTGGTATATGTAAAAACAGAAAAAGAAATGAAGAGAGGATCCAACCTGGAAAAAAGGGGCGGATTCGACTCACCTAAAGATGAAAATAAACAATATCAGAAGAGCGAAGAACACGGCTACGTTGTCCATCGTCCGCAGCATGATGAAGAGTTGGCGCCGGAGCGCCGGCATGAAGCGAACCAGTTTGAGGATCCGCAAAAGTCGAAACGTTCGCAGCACCGAGAGCCCGCTTCCGCTGCTCTGGGTCAGTTCCACTATGCTGAAAAAAACATGCGCGGTAGGGCCAGGTATGTACACGCTATACTGAATAACGTTGGTTACGCTCACTAAAAAAGTAATTAATTATGTTACTCGTCACTGAGAATCACAAGGAACGCGTTACTTCAGCTCGCGTTATTTTTACAGCGGAGCTGTTAAGGGCTAGTTTCCCGAGTGTCATGTTCACCAGCAAACAAATGATGACACAAAACTCTGGACAGCTACCGCCATCTTTGAGCGACAGCGGCAACCAGACAACAGGCTTGTCGGTTGTCTGCTTTTCGCTGTCGCGCATAGATGGCGGAAATCTTTGCAGTCTTTCCACTCTGGCTCGCCGACTTGCGGCCGGCCATTACTTCATTCCCACCAAAGTACAGCTTCGCGCTGCTCTTCCTTTTCACCAGTGTGGAAAAGCTGAAAATTGCTTCGTTACACTGAATGTAGTTTTTATAAAGCAGACGCAGCTTCTAATGCTTGTCGTTGTTAATAGATAATTACTTTCATTACCCGAGTTCATTCAGGGATAGCTCTAGTGACATACCTTGCGCAAGGCGCAAAAAATGAAATAAAAACAACGGGCATAAGGAAGGAGACACACACACAGGCGCCTGTGTGCGTGTCTTCGTCTTTGTGTCTGTTGTTTTTTGCAGTTTACACAGTGCTTCTTAGCGTTCACCAACTAGGCCAATTACAAGTTATTCTGCATTACTTCTTGCAGATCTTTTTATGCACAACCGAGAATTGGCCGCTTCCGTTGTACACGTTTTCCCCCAGAAGCAGTTAAATACCCTTACTCGTTACTTACTACATTGGAAAAGTAACGAAACCACTCTAACAGTTTATTCTCTTACGAAGTAACTGCAGTTACTTCTTAAGCATCCTACAGAAATAATGGCCCATGGGCCGTTATTTCTGTGTCGTCTCTTACAGCGTGCTCTGGTTAGTAAACGGAATTTTAGAGTTTGCTTTTTCGTTCACGTGCAACGAAATAGCGTTCCACTCTGACAGACCTGTCAGTGTGCGGCAAGTCTTAAGGCGAAAGCCTTAATTGTTTGTCCCATTACGCGAAAAGGCGGCGTCGGCGTTGTGCCCAAAAGATGGCCATAAAACACGTAAGCAAGCACGTGCCGCTCAAGGTCAAAGCGGACCCGCTTCGAAAATAAAACACACAAAGAGAAGTGCAGCAACGTAGGTGCTTCGTCACGGAAGCGGGTGGGGGTGCTCAACGTCAAAGCGGACGCGCCTCAGAAATAAAACACAAAAAAGCACAGCAAGGCAGATGCATCGTCACGAAAATCGTGGAGGCGGCGGTTCGCCGCGCCTGCGCAGTGGAGTAGCGTGACGTCACCACCGAAGCTTCCTGTGAAAAGAAAGACGTGGCGCGCTGCTTGTAGGAATGCGCTGCCGTGGAGGAATGCGTTCGCATTCCTACACGTGAGCAGTGTTAGGTGTCTTCGAACGACAGGGAACACACAAAGACACTGAGTGCCGTGACGATGCACTTTTCAAGCTGCTTCATTGGTTCTGTCAGATCGTAGGGTCGGCTTTGATCGGACGTAAAGAGAAATGTAGTATAGTTACCATAAAATTCCTAACAAACGCGCACTCCCGAAAGATCGCCCATCTTATATTTTCCACATTTGTCTGTCCACCGTGAGTGTGCGTTCACTCTAGATTTTACGCTGAATAGCTAAATGCATAAACGACAATTTGAAAAAAAAATTACCACCCCAGCACGCGTCATCATGCCCATACACTGATGTCATCTAAGTGGTTGGCCCTTACGTGTTGTCACTAATTCGGCAAAAAAAAAAAAAAAAATCGAAACTATATATATGCATGTTTTCTTTGCCTTTTCTTGTTGCAGGCTATTCGGCTTAATATTGTCCTAAAAGATTTTTAAATGCACGAATGTAAGTCGCTGCATTCCTAAATAACCGTAAAAGCCAGTTCACATACGGGGGAGCACTGCGGCAGCGCAATATTAGCGCCACATTTCTTCAGGTTTTAATTATGTATTTTCTCCTCGCACTGCTGAGGTGTCCCCACCCGTTGCTAAACCAGAAGGCCAAGATTCCCCAGTTGAATGTAATCTCAATGCCAAAAGCAGGAAGAATCAGATTTGTCGTCAAGAACTCTCGTATCGCCAGCGTAGAATCTATAGTAAAATTAATCTCGCTGCGGAGAACTACTTCGTGGTTTCGAAGCAGGCGGAGAGGGCCCCTCGGTGATGAAAGAAGGAAGGGCAGGTTACCATAGTTGCGTGTACAGATCTTACAAAATTTGTCTGGAACACGCGAACGGCGTCTTATCTTGAGCGTCATCCTGGCGGGAGCCGATGTAGCGCTCAGTGAAACAGTCCGAGTAGGGAAGGCCGCTCGCTCAAGGCCGAAGTCGCTGTTGGACCGGGTTACAACCCAAGCTTGCCTGCGAGGCAATCTACACTTTTAGCCTCATTCGGGGGAAGCATCAAATGCTTGCTGCTTGAACCATAAATCACTAACTGTTTCAAGAGTAAACCATGCAGCTTCATGTCAAATTATAGCGATAAGTATAGAGTGGTCGGTCGGCGAAATTGCCGCTGTATCCATGGTCCAGCGAGCGGTCGTCTCCCCTGCTTGGGCGGCTCTATTTAGCGTTCCGTGGCCACGTCAGGAGGCAGTTCTTCGGCCGCCGCCAGGATAGCGCTCCCACGGTATAAGACACCGGGTGTGTGTTCCGAATACTTTTGGTGACAACTGTACTTGCCTGAACTGTACTCAATAGTGTATCGCAGTTATTATCATTTGGTCTTTACTGTACATTGAAGCGACGGACGCCGACTGTATTCGATGGAGTTTTTTTTTACCCTTACGGCATAACAAAAAACGAAAGATAATTCGCGAATTTCATTGTTGTTGTTGTCGTCGTCGTCTCTTTCCCGAAGACTACACATCGGTGGTGTCGGTATTTCCTGGTGTTCTTATAACGAACCGGCGTCGTCGAATCTTAGGGTGGACGTAAAGGCAAGTCGAACGTGTTGGAACGTTCGAGGTAGACAACAAGGCAGGGTAAAGCTATTTTACGGAGAAAAGCACGTCGAGTAGAAAGTCGCTTCTCACCTGAGGATAACGATGACTCCGTCAAAGAGGTTGAAACCGCTACTGATGTAGGAGAGAAAGCCCTCCGCAAGGATCTTGAGCAACATCTCAAGGCCGAAGATGCCAGTAAAGATGAGGTTGCTGATTTCCACGGCCTGGGTCAGCTCGTGGGGCTGCAGGCGCCGCAAAAGGACGATTGTCACGACCACCCGTCCTTACATGCGACCACTACCTTTGCATGCTTCCACTACACGTATGCACTCCTGCACGGAAGCTTTGAACATACTATGGTGCACTGATTTTGGGCAGTACGAGCTCACCTGATTAGGTCCTGCACTAACGGCGCCCTATTGTTTCAAGGTTAGTGGCCTCGCCGCGTTTCCATAGTTCTTAAACCTTTTCTTTTTTTACTTTTTTTTTGGGTGAGTTCGCTCTTTGCAAATTTTATATGAAAAATGCATCACCTGTGGGCAACGCTGCACATAATCATAGCGCGATAGGTTAGGAAACCGATATTTGCGGTTGATTTAAATGGCCTGGCCGCTATTTCAGACATTCTTTATGTGGCATTGCCAGAGGCCATACTGGTAAACGGGTGCAGTCAGCCTAGTGGGTTTCGAGGTGCCTCACCTGATCGTGGTATTCGATGCCCATGCTGAGGGTATTGACGAGGATGGCAGTGAGGATGCCCCTCTGGAAGTACTGGTGCCCCACGAGGCGCCTGAGTTGCACCTGCCGAGCTCGCCAGAAGCGGCAGCAGGGGCCCCGGGCTCGCCCCCTGGGAGGACCCGACCCGCTTCCCGAGAGCTCGTCCTCGTATTCGGAGTACCACGACTCTTCCCCGTCGTCCTCTTCCTCGCCGCACGAGGAGGAGTCGCTGTGGGCCCCTGAACACGACGAGGACGTCGAGGACGACGAAGACGGGGACGTCGAGGGGGGAGAGTCGACGGGCTGAGGGTGCCGACGCCGCCGACGGGAGGAGCCATGGGAGTGGAACGTCAACTGCGGTGCCGAGTAATGCTTCGTACCTGCGCCGGAGAGGAGCCTCTCGGTTAACCGCCTTGTTTGGGAACGATACTCCGTTTCACATTAAAGGGCCGGTGCCACGATTTTAGAACTTAGGCCATATAATTGTGGGAGTTTGTCACAGTCATTTCTAGATCCAAGAACAGAAAAGCATTCCTGGTTCCCTGTGCTAGTTTTCATTAAAAAAAACTTTCAGCCTTCCACTCTGGTGAAGACAGAAGACCAGCAGAGCTGCACAATGGAAAGTAATGGCCGGCCACAAGTCGGCAAGCCAGAGTGGAAAGGCTGCCGCCCTCTATGAGCGACGGCAGCAACCAGATACTTGGCTTGCCGTCGTCGCTCATAGATGGCGGTATGTGTCCAGAGTTCGGTGTCTTCATTTCTTTTGGGGGGGGGGGGGGGGGGGGGAGGGGGACACGATCTTAGGGAAACTAGCCGTTAGCAGCTCTGTTGCAAAAAAATGGGAAAGATTGAAGTTTTCAGGCGCCTCTAAACTCGTGCTTCGGCGTTTTTATCGACAAGGCCACGGTCTCATAGGTTGCGATAATACGATGCTCCAGACCCGACACCACCTGCGACTTGGCGAAGGCCCTGTAATATGAGATGCCGAGCACGCGTCCACAGCCTTGGATACTATCTGTGGGCATCCTATTACTCGTTAATGCTTCGTGTCTAATCTAATCGAAGCACTTACCGATAAGAGTGTCCGAAGAACAAATCACGAAGCACGGCACATGGACGGATTAAGCCACACCGTGTGTTTCTTAAGCCGATAGAGGCCACACGAAAAGTTCCACATAAACAATGCCTAAGCGTAATGGGACCCTCAGAAATGTGATATGTTAGGACGCCGAGTGGGTGAAAGGCTCTCCGGAGAGGACGCGGGCTTTTACGGCACGCACTATCTTGACACCACAAGGCTGGGTGGTTTACGTTAAGCTCACGAATTTGTACTTCAGAGTACGGACGCCCAACATTTTAAAACACCCTTACAACTCTCACTATAAAAAAAAGTGTGAACAAACAAGATTGGCGTCGTCGATAGCCCATCCACATAAAGTTTAGGCCAAGCTACAGGCGGCTTTATGGTGTGGGTAACGTTAGAAATAGGCCTTTTGCAAAAGTTGCAGCGCCCTCCGAGACACTGAAAGGATTGCTGGAAACAACCTGCATTGAACCGGCCGCTGTAGCAGACGACGGAAGCAACGCGGCAGGCAACGGAAGAAATTGAAGCGGGTGGTTGAGGGCAGGCTGGCAACGACGCTGCCAAAACCTCCCTGATACCAAAGATACCAAGGATGTGTTGAATGTTTGGCGTCACTGAAAGAAGGACAACGCGGAACCCCCGTTCGAGGGTTCCGCGTTGTGTGTTGAGTCGGGTCAGTGTTCTGCCCCGACTCGTGTTCTCACTGAATGACCGCGAGTATCGGTCTTTGATGATAATGCACTCGTGTTCAGTGTATGCCCAGTGTTGGCTCTCTTTTGGTCATGCCAAAAATGTTCCATCTTTGTTATTAAGGGGTGTCAAAGAACGGTGAGCGCGCGGGCGAGCTGGTGAAAAGTTGACATGACTCAACCTGATACGTGGAAAAACGAAAGATATAAAAAGGTGTTGTCGCTACCCTGTCTTTCATTCTCTACAGTGATACGTGGTAAAGATTCCACAGGCGCTAGGAGAAACACACAGAATACGTTCCGCAGATTCGTTGCACGCTCTGCGCGTGATCTTTTGGAATCTTCGCATTATGAGGCTTTGTGAGAAGGGGCTATTTCGTGGCTACCGTTTCTGGATTTGGGGCGGACTGCATCCCTTCAGCGTGCTGCGCCCTAAAAGCGCGGACCTTTGCCGAGTGTCGAGTAGAACCGGTGCATGGCGAAGTTGCTTGCGAAGCTGGCCGCCAGCGCGGCGCTCTGGGCCCCGCTGAAGGCCAGTAATTCCGCGCAGGTCAACGTGGCGCCTGCACCGGCCGTGGTCGTCGGGAGGGGGGAGGACGAGGAGCCGCTGGCCGAGCCGGGGTGGGCCACGAGCTCGTCCGAAGGCGTCGGCGGGGCAGGGGCCTGCAGGCTCACCGTCTTGGGGCCGCAGGGGCCCCGCCCCAGCGCCGGACGCTCGGGCAGCGCGGCCGTCGTGTCCGGCCCTGGGGAAACGAGGGACCTCGCACAATCTGTGAGACTATCAAGGCGCCTACGCCCATAGCCGCCCCTTTAAGCAACGGTTCCCAATTTATCATACAAAAGGCAGTCTGCATAAACGGTCTAAGGCGTTCCTTGCATTGGCCACACGTAAACTTTCTACAGACGTGCCTGTGAAGCAAACATGTTTCGAACATGCTTGACATCGTACAAAAAACAGTCTGCACAAACTGTCCAAGGCGTTCTTTGTATATGTAAACTGTTTGCAGAAATACATGTATGAAGCTGCTCCGAACATGCTTGCGACGTGTCTTCGGATGTCATCATGTCGGCAACGAACTCCGTGTTCTTTGTGTAGTGCATGAACAGTGCAACTGAGGCTCAAGGGTGAACAGTTTTGCAACTCCAGAGGAAGCGACACTATCCAGCTGAAACGGTTCAACCTTAAAAGTCGCGGGGGAGAGAAGCTGAGCTACGTTTTGTTCTACGTGTTGAGCGGTAAAACACTGGACCATAAAACTCACTGATTGTACAAGCTCCGCCAAGGTGGTGCTTGGGATGCGCCTGAATCAACAATGGCGGCGCGTCGTAGGAAGCACGTCATCACCATGGCGCGCGTCGTCTACAATGACAACCGACGTCCGGAACCAAAAGCGTCACTGTTGTCGACCTTACACGATTGGTCGAAGGTATACACACTTCACATCTACACAGGCGCCATGGGCTCCATGTAGCGGCTCCCGTTGCTCAGCGGCAGCCTTCACGATTCGAGCGAAAGGCATGATGTTGAGCGGCTGGTTTCACGAACGAGGGAGTTCGAGAAACGCTGAGCTTGCTGCTATGTGTTACGTTCTCAAATGCATTTCAACACGAACGTCCGGAAAACTGCTTATAATGTCTAACTCCATAACGCACTGCAACAACTTTATATGCCAGGATCGTATAAAGAAAGTGTCATCGACATTAGATATACGTTAACGGACCTTTCGCGCCGAGGATTTTAGGAACAATTTCAGTGGGCCCCACGTGGGGTTAGCTCGCAATACCATGACAAATAGATTGACTGGATTTTCACGTAGTTTACCACGTTCAATCCCCAGTCCTTTAAATTTCAAGGTATGACACTGAGTATTCAGATGCCGTCCATACCGAAAAACCTAGATGACGCTTCACTATCTGGATTACGAAACTGGAACTCTGTTCCTGAAAACTTTAAATCCAGATTGCAGACAAAGGAATATCTTCTGAAAACCTGAAATCTAGATAGAATCTAGATAAATTTCTAGCTCCATAACAGACCCTTTATGAAAGTCAGTCTGGCCACTTCGATAGCTATCATCACCTAAGTGTGTATCATCTGTACATGCTAATGGCATACTTTTGATGGCTGGAGAAGAAATAATTTGAAGACAGAAACCCATGCCGATGGGCATCCAGACGTTGGTTCGCTGTTTGATGTCACCGTGATGAGACTTAAAGCTTCCATGCGCTACACATTTGAGGGTGTCACGCAAGTCCTTGGAATGCTCGGTTTCGGCATGCCCCAGGCAGCTCATGACAATAAAATGTTAGAGCTATCAAGAAGTTTACTCAACTCTAAGGGCTTTGTACAGAGTGGTATAGCTTCTCGACACCATCGAAACTGAAGGATATAAAGAAATAACTGTTCCGTGAAAAACACAGTAGCTCTTGTATGTCTACGGCTGATGAATAGGTACCACATTTTATCTACCATTAGCATACACCAATTTGGACCGATATTTCAGCCACTAGAAGGCACTGAATTTGTGAAAGGGTCTACTCAGATAGTAAAAAGTTATACTGGGTTTTTCAGTAGGAATGCTAATAAACTAGCACCAGGAAACTAGGGGACTGAAGCGAAAAAAGACAACTCGCCTCCTTCACCATCGCTGTAAAAAGTGTGCTCACACGGGTGTTTATCTCAAAGATAGGCGTTTTTGAAAGCCCTAACTGACTCAAGTGCTACGACAATAAGACCTTACCCACATCCTACTACACTGCCGGAAGTACTAGGATACCCATCGGGCCCTGCAAGTTAAGCTGTCTGTGGTTGAAATTGGCCAACCGTTTCTATCTCCGTTCACCCCTAAGCTGGGACTGCAGTGGAAGCTACGTGCCCACAGGGCCACTCAGCCGCCTCCCTCTTATGACCTGACCTCTGGGCTGGAGTATGGCCGGGAGCGCGATGACGTGGCGAAAGAGAGGCGTATGACTGGTCCAACCAGAATGCAGCTTTTACCGCAGATCTCAGCTTAGGGGCGGACAGATTATAGCTCCCACTGGCGTCGCCGGAAAATTCGGGACTATCCACTTGAGTTCGTGCACTCAACCGGCTTCGCCGATAGGCTGTAGACGTTTACCCCTAATCCCAATCCCAAATTAAACATATATTTCCTTTCTACCTACTCTTCCCTTTTCTACTTTACTGTAATCATGTCCATATTTACCTTTCCTTATCTCTTCTTCTCTCATTCTTTCTGACAATTCGGCAAAAAAAAAAAAAATACAGTTTAGCAATCCCGTCGAAACTTTCCATTTACCTCTCCTCCCAGTCCAATTTACCACATCTTTCCTTTCTACCTACTCTTCCGTTTTCTACTTTACTGTAACTCTGTCATATTTACTTCTCTTTCTTTCTCCCTCTCTTTTAATTTGTCGAAAAATTTTCAGTTTAGAAATACCCTCGGAACTTTCCGTCGTCCTGCAACCCGCCAGCAGAGCAGGAACTTTGCGACTTTGCAGTCAATGCTAGCAGCGTGCGCGCGCAGTAGCGGCGTTTGAGAATGTAGCGGAGGGGAAAACCGGTGTACAAAAACTCCCAAATATCCAGCTCTTTGTCCAGCAGCAAAAAATGATGCGGATTGGCGACCACAATGTGAAGCAAAGGAAAAGGCTGCTCCTCCTACCTTGCGGGTTGGACAGACCGGTCCGAGAGGCTATCCTGAGACAGGAGGGCCTCCTGGGCGACGCGCCCACCTCCACGTCCGAGGCTTCGGGGCTGGCCCTCGGGGGGAGCTCGAGCATTCGGCAGCGCTCTGTAGTGCCCTCGGAAGCCACCGCGGCCACGGGGCCCAGGTCCGGCAGCGAAGTCTTCGATTCCGCCGGGGAGGAACCGCTCGAGTCTGCGCGGGAGGCAGCCCCAAGTTAGGGTAACTCTAAATGCCCGGCTTGCGGAGCAGAGTAACGGTCTCCATTATTTGACTCCAAGTCTCGCGGGAGAAGTGACCGTTGCTCTTACAGGAAGAGTGACGGGCGCGACGACGTGAGGCAGTTGGTCACCACGTAGACGTCGTCGTGAGTCTCCCAGGTCCTTCGAAAGCGCGAGCGAGTTGTTTTGTCGGTTGTCAGGGCGTCTGCTTGTACACAACCGCTTTGAAACGGCGCTTGGGTTATAAAAATGACGCAATTAGACGTATCGTGGTGGCACACATGATGCTCGAAGGCTCAACAAGCTTGCATCTTGTCAGATGTCAGTGTAACATCGACATCTCGCGCATGCAGAGCGAAAAATATATCCCGGCCCAAACTGTGCGCTCCACAAGGACGCTCGCTTCCCGACAAGCGCTTTAGTCAAATTTGCCGCATGTGACTCCTTCTCTGCCAGTGAGGAGTTGGCAGAGAAAGGAAAAGGAAGGCAGTACTTTCAGCCCGCAATTTCATTATACTTTACCAAAGTCAAGTTGTTCGGCTCTTCCGTTCGTTCAGACAGGATGCGACGAAAATAAAACGTGTAATCATGTTTCAACAACACGTAGAATAGAAAACCGTAGTGCTGAATGTTCGGTATCACCTAAACGAGGCTAAGGCGGGGACCAGATTTCACAAGAGTGCTGCGTCGGCTTTTGTCTGAAACAGGCAGAGCACGAGTCTCGTCAGCGTTTTTGAGACTCCTGGAGCACAAGTCTCATCAGCGTTTCTGAGACTCGTCGAGCATGTCTGCTGCGCAGGTGACGACAAAACTTCAGCACTTCGGCCTTGTTTTCTAGGGGGTTACTGTTAAGCACGAGCGCAAGTAGGACTTCCGGTCGCCGCTATGTTTCAGCTCGTGCGGGCAATAGCTCCTGCAATAGGCTTGTTGCAAAACAAATGGCTGCAGACACTACAATTGCTTGTTGTTTATGAATTGCGACAGCATTCGTCATGTTTACCCCCTTTTCTTACGAGGCCATGAACGACGTCAGGGACGGAGTCTAGGACGACGTTAAGAACGACGTCTAGGGCGACCTCAAGGACAATGTCCTAGAGGACGACATCTAGGGCAACCTCTAGGACAACCTCTAAGGCGGCCTCAAGGACGACCTTTAGGACGATGTCGAGACGTGGCGTCGTACACTAGACGTGTAGGACGACGCCGAGGAGGAAGCCAAGGTCGTCAGGTCGTATGAAGAGAGTACGAATGTGAAAGAGTGCGTACTCTCGCTACGCATACGCGCGTCGAAATGGGGTGCAGGCACAGTAAGCTGAAATATTGTACTGCGTATACCTACTGTGCATTAGGCTAGAAATGTCCACGAAAAAAGGTGGGGGGAAGGGGTAGCTAAAGAATGCTATTGCATTAAAATCCCCGAAGGCCACGGACGAAGCGAGCTATCAATTATAGGAACGTCTTCTATGCTCCTCGTTGCCCTACAGATCATCTAGGAGTTTAGAAGGTGTTGGGACAGCACAGTTGCTCGCCCTCCTTGCTCGCCCTCACCCGCCTCGTTTTCTCGCCTGCGTTATCTTGGTTTCTTTCGTCATTTCCAAGGTAATCTCCGTCATCTGCTAGAATCGGATATACACAGGACGTTCCCAGGAATCCTCTCGGCGCCGTGGAGAGTGCTGCATGTTTCCAGAAGTTCTATTGCATGCTGGTTGAGGTTACCTTTTGATCTCGCCGCACGTGCTTGCGCTCAACGAGCAACAAGTCAACAGAGGTGCGATGCTTACTGTCCTGGATGGAAGCCAAAACAGATACTTCATCAGAATACTGACATTTCTCCGCTCATCTGGATTCACCCACCACTAGTGGTTAATTTGGCACCTGCGGCACCAAATCATCCACTAGTGGTGCGAGCACTTCGCGTCCGAGAGAGCGCACGCGCATCGCGCGGTACATGCAGTATAGCGCGTTCAGGGGGCGTCGAGGGAGAGGGCTGCCACCTGCGCACCAAGATAGTGAATTCGCCAAGGTAGCAGAAACGGCTGCTTTCGTTGCTTCAATAAGTTTCCACAATGATAGATGGCGGCAGCTCCCAATTCAAAGAACCCCGAGGCTGCGCGCGTCCAGTTGTTCCCACTACGAAAACCTTGTCGGCGCCAAAACCATGATACGCGGAGTGAGATGTGCCCCCCCCCCCCCCCCCCCCCCCCCCCACGAGTAGTAAAGCATTTGACCATCAACTTTTCGTGTGTGGAAACAGGGGTTACCCGAAGATTGGCTTTCGCTGCGATCCGAGTGGTGAATGTCGCCCGTGCGTGGAGGCGTCGGGCGACGGGGAGTCGACGGCTGATGCCGCAGGGAGATGGGCGACCCGGCAGTCGCTTCCACGGCCGCCGGGGTCGCTTGGGCAATGGCGCGGCGTGCCCGACGACGCTTTCGCCGCCGGTACCAGCGCAAAAACCTAGGGGAAAAAGCGGCACTCAGCAAATGCCGCTGCCCGAAAATCCCAATGTTTCTTTTGTACAGTCCTTGCGAGCGAGACCTCGAGTACATGACTTGAATTGACGTCACGTCAACGGCAATAGCTGTGACTTTGCTGCCGAGCGTGTACCTTCTGCATCATACATTTCACACCCCTGAGATTGATTTTCTCATCGAGAACAAGTGTGAATGACCACTCATTCATGTAACAAGTATCAATAAGCTCTCGCGACAATGACGTCGCGCTTTCGTTGCCGAAATCTATTCGGCGCGCTTCGCAAACTTTCGTCACCAACTTTCTGTTTGCATTGTCTAGAGTCCCCGCACACTCGCTCTACTTTCAATGAAGTTCTAAAGCTTTGACATCTGGTCCCAATCGGGTTAAATATATAACGATCGGCTTCGCCAAAAATAAAAAAAAAAAGAAAGAAAAGAAAGCCGTTTACAACTCCCAGTAACGCCGGATTAAAGCGCAGCTCTTGAGGAGGAGGATGGAAGGTAGCTGACGGATAGGTGACTCAAGTGGGTCACGTGACATCAGGGAGTCACGTGACCTCGGGGGTCACGTGACATCAGGGGGTCACGTGACCTCAGAGGGATCACGTGACCTAAGGGGGTCACGTGACCTCAGGGGGGTAGCCGTCATGACCCTCGTCAGGGTAACCCCCGTGACCCTCGTGAGGGTAACCCTACTAACCTTTGTGAGGGTAACCCTCGTGAGGGTAACTCTCATAACCGACGTGACCTTCGCGAGGGTAACTCTCGTGACCCTCGTGAGGGCAACCCTTTTGAGTGTAACTAACCCTCGTGATCCTCGTGAGGGTAACCCTCGTGAGAGTAACCCTCATAACCCTTGCGAGAGTAATCCTCGTAACCCTCACGAGGGTTACGAGCGGTTGCGCCAACGGCTACGGCGACGCCGCTCCAGCCGGAAACGGGCGCCTAAGAGCTGCGCTATAAAACAAACACAACATTGCAAATACGAATTTCGAACGTCTATAGGATTTCACTGCTGGAATCGCGGGTGTGCGGCACGTCCGCACAGTTGCACCACCCTAAGCAAGCGGAGAGGACAAGGAGGGTCTCTCCATAATACATCGAGCGCAGTGTTGCATTGTGGGACACTTAGACGTCCGTCCCCAGATATAGCGGTTACGCCGACGGCGACGCCGACGCCGCTATATGCGGGAACGGGCGCCTAAGAGCTGCGCTGAAAAACGGGATCAAGGATCGCGACACGCACGTTTTTCTGCGATTCAGCTCAGAAACGTTGGCTGTCGGACGTCCGGGAGCCAATCGCAGGTGACCGCCGCCCAGGAGCAAATTGCACATATTCGAAAATCAGTAGACCGTTGGTTGGCCCCCTTGCCGCGTGGGAAGCGTCGATCGCGATTGGGTGTAGCACGTCTGTCGGCGCCTTCTAGTTTCTGCGCCGAGTCACAACAAAACGGAGATGTACCTTTTTGCTAGCCCGTTTTGTAACGAGCCTATCACTCTAATTTTGGTTTCTCGTAGAATAGATCGTGCATTTATTTATGACCAAAAACAAACGATAACGAGATTCATTTTAGTACCCCCATTAAGCTGCAAGTCAGTACAGAGTTTAAATTTACTCTTACGGTGAAGAATGTACGCGGTTCTTTTTTTTATCTTACGCACTCAGTATTCCGTCTAAAACCGCCCTACAGCATTTGAGAAGAATAGTCCGATCGAACTAGTTCTCCGGCAATAAGAATCCCCGAAGAAGGGAAACAAAAGGGGCAAAGTACAAACAGAAATCTCCGAACACAGCTAGATGACTGGTGTGCGACCTAAAAAAATCTGCCTGGTCCCGGTATCGAACCAGGGACCTCTCCATTTCCAGTGGAGCGCTCCACCAACTGAGTCACCAGGGGTTAGACGTCTAACTCCTTGGTTAGCTCAGTCGGTAGAGCGCTCAACTGGAAATGGAGAGGTCCCTGGATTCAATACCAGGATCAGGCGGACTTTGTCACCTAGCTGTGTTTGGAGATTTGTGTGTGTCCTTTGTTCCTTTTGTTCTCCTCCTGGGATTATTATTGTCATTCTTGCACAGCTCGCTTGCACCTTTGCAATAATTGCATTGTAATCATAGTTCTCCGTGCCGAGAACGGACGAGCGGTTCTCTCTCTCACCTCCGCTTGGCCCTCCGGCCGAGGTGCGTGAGGTACTTGATGATCTGGGTGTAGCAGCCCGAGTCCGAGACGGAGGTCGACGCCAGCGTGGAGCTGGAGTGGTAGCGAGCGCGTTCCATACGCATGCGCTCCATCTCTCGCTTTTTGGTCTCAGAGAACTGCGTTGCGATGACTACCAGGCACAGGTTGATCATGAAGAAGGACCCGATCTGCAAAAAAGTCTCCTCCTTCACCCGTCATCCCCAAAGCGCCTCCGCGAGGCACCAGTGCACGGTTCGGGCACAGCCGAAAAGATGCAGCGGTACGTCGGCCGTACCCCCGGTTCTTGGAACGCGCTTTCAATCGGTGTTTTTAGCGTTTTATATGCGGAGCGCAAGGTCGTCTGCTTCTTTTGCAGGGGTTCTGGTGACGTCAAAGCACCGGGCTCTGATTGGCTCTGATTGAAGGATTTAGACCTCGAAGTAAGCTGTCTTGAGCTCTATCCCCATCCTTCGATCAGAGTCAATCAGAGCTCGACGTTCTGACGCCACCACAACTCCTGTAAAAGAAGGAGACGAACTTGCACTCCGCGTACTGCGCATGCAATAGAAATGGTCCCAAAGGGTTAATAAATTACTTCACAGCAGAAGGCTTGGGCCCACTGTTGGTTGCCGAGATACTGTAAATTATGCATAAGTGTTCTGGCAAAAAGAAAAGAAAAGAAGAAAAAAAAAAGCGGACGTAGTTGTGTTGTCGTCGCAACGTCACATCCTGGCTGGTAAAGGCGCTGTCACACTGAAGAAACTGTTGGACAACTCTATCCGGCAACACGAGGAAAGCGTACTACCGGTGACCCTGTCACATCGCGGCCACAACAACAGTCGGGCAACATGTTGATGTCGCCCGGCAACCGTTTTGGCCGGTTTGTTGTCCGACCACCCTGCCGCACCGGCGCTCACGGTGGGGACAACACGGGGAACACTCCGCCTTCTTGATTGTTTACCTTCGTTCGTGTGAAGCGCGGCGAAGCTGGAAATGAAACTCTACAAAGCACTAGTGTGTTCGAAGGGCCGGAAATTACCAACCGACGTCATCAACCAGGAACTGTGATTAGAAAACTTGACACGGAAAGTACATTCTACCCGTTACTTGAACAAAACGTTTTTTCATTCGCTGACAAAGCAGATAGCCATAACCGAGGAAAGTGAGATCGCTGGTATATGTTTGGGAGTTACGCCACCGTATGAAATGTTTCAGTCCGGTTTTTTTTTGTTCAAGCGAATTCAGTAGCACCGGCAGTACCCCAAAGCGTCTTCCGTAGCTTGGTGTTGAGCTGAACTGACAGTGCTTAGAAACTACGACACCCACACGACTGGCCTTCACAACAATTGATGGAATAACAATTCTTCAACGCCTTCGGCCTGCAATGTGATCGCTTCATTCTCCTTAACGTGTTAGGAATTTTGGAAACAATTCGAGTTTCTGGTAGCGGCTGTTTCCAAGTTTCAAGCATCAACAATCATGATCACAGTGGTCGTTTTAATCTTTCGATTTTTCAGTCATTGTATTCCTGGATTATTTTTATTATACTTTGTGAGCGGGTAGGTAGGCATGCCATTTTATTTCACTAGCAGTAATATGAGCTGGTCTATCGGCAGTTGTAAGTTTAACACCAGTCTGAACGTTCATGACCGTAGCTGTGACCATTTCGACAATAGTTTTCCGTAATTACCTATGCAGTAAAATCATCCATCTAGTTATTTTAGCTGCACCAGCCTTAATTATAGTGAAATAACGCTTCCAGGCCATTATTTGAGTAACCTCTTAAAGAAGACGTTATTGGTAAAGAACTAACTCTGCCATTGAAGCTATCTGTGATGTCACGTTGACGGCACAAAATTGTCTCAACCACCGATCTGGGCACCACGCGTCGTCATAAAACAAGTTGCTGCTGTTTTTTTCTTGCCGAAAGCTGCCGTCGTCGTTCATGTTGCACTCCAGTTGGCACGATGCGACAGGGCTGTCGGACAACACGGGGAGCGAACAACAAGTTGCCCGACATTTGGACAACATGTTGTGTTTGTTGTTGCCGTTGTGTTGCCTGAGTGTGACAGAGCCTTAAAGCTTCCGTCGAACGTCTGGACGCGGAACGAGCTGCGGCAGAACAGGCGTCTGCCGCATCAACCTCCGCTTCTGTGCTAGCGCCAGGGCTGCGGCTGGAAGCGGCCTGACGCAAGTGTGATTTCATCAGCCGGAAGTCGAGAGACTATAAATGAGGACGCCATAAACAGACCGGTCGGAAGCGCTTTCCAGGCACAATAGTCGTATCTGGCAAGACATCAATCGTCATACGCAGAATGCGTTTTAGAGGTTGATAAAAGTCGGGGCAATGTACCCTTTCAGAAATTCAGTGCTGTCTAGTGACTCAAATATCAGTCTAAATTTTTGTATGCTAATGGGGTTAAAATATTGTCACAAATAAACAGGCGAGAAAACAAAAAAATAACTGGAGAAACTGAAACGTTTAATGGGGCGAACTTGTGACCAAAAATGAAAGGGCACAAAAGATAATAACAGAGCGTCGCGGGCGTCGAAGTCGGCGTAACAGCTGAGTCGAACGCTGGGGCGAGACTGACTCCGCTCGCCTGGCGGATTCCCTTATGTACCCTCGTGGTTTTCTGGATCGTTCGGCGTAGAAGGTTCGGCGCGTAGAACATTCTAACCTCGAATCAGCAAGACTGTTCTCGAATTCACCAGAACATCACATTACAGTGTCAACAAAAATGTGTAGCCGCAGCCAGGATTCGAACCCTGGCCTTCTACGTGGAAGGCAAGCGCGATAATATAGTACCTACTCGGTCAACGGGAGGTATACGAAAGTTAAGATGTTTGTCCCTCTACAGCTATTTCTTTAGTTGTTGCAGTTTCGATTTTGCCAAGGAACTACCACTCTGTACAAGGAGCTTACTTGAGTAAATCTCTCGATAATATTCACTACATTTTATTGTCATGCGCTACCGAGGGCCGAGCATTTTAAGCATTTATACGAGGCGCATTAAAGCTTACAAATCTCGTCGCGGTCACATCGTACATGAATACAGCGAACTAACGTCCGGAATGCTCACACACCGCATCGTTGCCTGTCTTCACATTCTTCCTTCACCAGATATCAAAAGGCCGCTATTAGCATGTACAGATTATATACACTAAGGTGATGATAGTTATCGAAGTGGCCAGACTGAACTTCGGAAAGGGTCCATTATATTTGTACCAGATTGGTACGGCGACTTCCGACGATACGGTCACTAGATGTACCAAGAGTCACGCATGATCGCTCACAGCAGCCAACGGGAGTGAGGTACTACCGCGACGGCCACTAAAACTGTAGATGTACAAGGAAAACGAAGTCCGATAAACATGGCGGGGCGAAACATTGTCCGCCTAATTTAGGAGAAGGTGGGTATGCAATCGAGATCACGTGACCACCATGACCACGTAACATGACGTGGGATTAAGCTTTATGGACCACGCCACGTGACATCCTCTTTGAAACCTAATGCGAAGAAAGAGGTAATGAACCAACATCGGATGCTTCAGGTGCCTCCATGGCCAGACTCACCACAATGAGCAAAACAAAATAAATCCAGTCCCAAAAGGAATGTGCATCCTGGACGTAGTACATGATGTCGGACCAGCCCTCCAGGCTAATCACCTGTTAAAGACAGACACACGGCAGTGATATACAATGCAATGATAGGGAATGTCAATCTATATTTATATAAAGCTGTCGTATTCTTCATTCCGTAATACAATAAACACGTTAGTTTGCCCATAGCGCGTACAGTTCGCGTTCCCAAGCACATCTTTCTTCAACTAATATTTATATGTGTTAAAACGCTCCTCTTATTTACGACTAAAATTATTGTAATATGTAAAAACATGAAATAACCCTTTTGAACAACATAGTAAAAGTGAGGGGGCCCCACGTTTACGGCTTGGTAGGAAGCTTCGTTCGTTTATCGCGTTATAATATTAAGCCAAACAGAGGGACCTCTGTAAAATACGTATACGTTTTTAATAACTTCGTGGTTCTGTGGTAATCCCATTGTTAATGTTAATATTTATATCTTAACCTTTTTGTTTCGTTTTCAATTTTAATTAGATCCTAATAACTAGTTCTGGGAAGTACTTTAGGTGTACTTAATATACTACTTTAAGTAGGATTAGAAAATGTTTACTCAATTTTAAGTACATCTTTCAAGTATGCATTTGTACTACCAGAAAGCCGAGCAAACTACGTATCGCTACTGCTCATTTCTCTGAATGAAGTTATGTTGGCTGTAAGACCGATGCAAATAATTTCCTTATAAGTTGATTTTGTTAAAATTGTGCGTCAGCAAGAGTAAAACTACTGTGTGGCCACTTGAGCTTATCGAATATTCAGCGCTATTTTTGAAAATTTTAGATTCACTATTACGGAGTGAAAGGAAACCATAAAAGATTTTGTTAAAAAGCACTTGTAATTTACTTTGACAGTACATTGTATTTATAGTTACTTCACTTTAAAGGGGCACTGACACATCAAAATCATATTTTTTTTTATTATCCGAAACGATTGAAAACGATGCCGGGACATTATCCTCAAAATTTGAAATTTGGGAATTCAGTATTCGTGAAGTAAACAAACAATTTCCAAATGCCGAATTCGAAGTTCCCGCGCGATCGGCGCCGGTGCCTTGACGTCAAAAATTGCGGAGACCTGAGAGTCCCCTTTATTTCACCACTCCCTGCTGTTGCCATGGCGACAAAAAGCGAGGGGGAAAGGAGCGAGCGGCGGCGTTCCGGCGGACCGGTTTTGAGCGGTGTCGCCTGTTTTCCGTTGGAGGATACAAATCCAGGAGACGGCACCACAACGAACTCCCGATTTTATTATTTCAAAAAGAAGGGCCGTAGTGCGTTCGCAATTGCGTTAAAAAACATGTTTTAGGATTGCCGTAATTAAATGTTATAGAGATGTCGCCTACAAAGCTTCTAAATTTCATGATTCTTGACGTCACCGATCAAAAGAAGCGAGGAGGCGAGAGGCGGGAAAATCGAACGCCAAAAATAAAAAGGCGCGCGCGCGCGCGGGAAAATTTTTTTTCGCGATGCGTTTTTTTTTTTGCGTGTCTATGACTGCAACTTGCATCGTTTTAGACAATAAAAATAAATACGACCTTTGGGGTGTCAGTGCCCCTTTAAGTACATTGCACTCGGTGTACTTACTATATTACTTGCAGTACATAAGCTCTAATTTACTTCGTACTTTACTTCAAGTACTTTTATATGTACTTTACCAAATACTGTTCATAGCTATGTTCCCGAAGCGGGCAAGACTAATGGGCCAAAAAAATTGAAGGCAGCACAGCTGCGTACAGCATTCACTGGGAGGTATATTTGAGGTGCTATTCACAGCGCATTCTGAGAACTAGCTCTCATCAATTGTCTGCCTGAAACGACCATCCTGATTGGGAGTGATGCACATTGAAAGTGCATAAACATAAATTCCACCCTATCAGGATCGTTGTTCCCGACAAGCGATAAATGAGAGCTAATTCTGAACATACGCCACGATCAAGGACCTTGAATGTGGCTTACAGTAAATGCTCCAAGCCGCACCGTGAACCTTGGCCAACTGGAGCCACTAAAGAAGCTCCGCTTATAGAATCGACATCTCTTCCCCGAATAGATTATGAGCGCCGCCATGTTGTCGCCTTGTGCGGGCCGGGTACAATTGGCGCTAGTTAGGGTACAAAAATGCGACTTCCCTTGGCTTCACACACGGCGTCAGGAAGGTCAGGCGATTTTGGCATGATGTGTCAGAAAATGTTCTAACATTGATGGAGGACAAAAAACGCTTTCTGACGTTTCAGATAAAGTTTCCAGGAAACTGAGAATAGCAATTGTAGGCAGCAAGATTTTTAAAGTTTCGTTACCCCGAAAATGCTCGTTTAGTGGCTTCAAGCCATGGCCACACCGCTCATACCTCGTCCAAAAGAAAGTCCGCAAGCACTGTCTGAGCTCTTCCTTGTATGTCGGCCACATTGGTCATACAAGAACTTTATGTTCGACGCATGCATGCGCATGAAGCAACCATGCTTCCAAAATGCTTGTGACGTGCCCGGGGATGTCATCGTGTCGGCAGCCAAGTCTTTTGCATGACGTGTGAGCAGAGTGGCTTTGGTGACTCTGGGGCCCAGCGAGTGCCGCTCACCAAAAAGATGGCGACCCAGGCCAGGCCGATATTGTCGAAGGAGATGGACCCCTGGAAGGGGTTCTTGTCCCCCGCCGTGCAGTTGCTGTAGTACTGGTTCCAGTTGACGCACGACGCGTTGGTCGGCACGTTGTCGCTGTGCGGCAGGGCGCTGGCGTTGCACACCAGCCCCGTGGTGAGGACGAGCGGCGGCAGACCGCTGCACCGGTGCATCCCGTTGTCCTTCTCCGTGCTGCAGATGAAGTCCCTTTCCGCATCCACCCCCTGGTAGTATGACGAAATGGGACTGCAACCCGAACCCGGTACGGTCTTAGTCGGGCGCGCCGCACTCCGCACTCAGAGCTTAAGGAGGCAAGGTATATCGCGATAAAACTCCCTAATTGGTCCTTCGCGCGTTCTAATGCGGAGAGAGAGTCTTATGTTTGTTCCGCTGGAGTTGCGGCGACGTGAGAACGACGCCTAGCTCTGATTGGCTGTGATTGAAAAGCTAGTAGGTAGACCTCGATGCTAGATGCCTCAAGGTCTAGTCACTATTTTGTTTTTAATCACCCAATAAGAGCGCGGCGTTCTGACATCATCGGAACGCCTGTGCAAGAAGCAGGCGGACCATTGACGAACACCGCAGTCTTACTGGCTGCGGAGCAATAGTGAAATGGACGGGGCTCGCCCCTCCCTGCGCTTTTTAAGTTGTCATTGAATATAGCTGATATCATCTAGATAACGAAAGCTGTACCTTCACCTTCCTCCCTCTTCTCCCACATGACGTACTAGTCGATTCACGCACAATCACCTGCCTCACAACAAGAGCGACGCCAGAGGGCATCGCCTCCAAGACGCACGCGTCTGTAACCAAGACGCAGCTGCACCTGCAACTCGGCGAGTCGCAGTCGCTGCTGCGTCTGCAACTGCGACTCGTCGAGCTTCACCGTGTTTGCCGCTTGGGGCGAGTCGGAGAGCCAATAATGATGACGTCATGCGCAGACCTTGTTTTCTAGGCGGTGTTGCTTTAACTGTCCGTTAAAACACATCTCCAGTTCTACGCAGCTGCTGATAACACCTTAGGTAGCAGTTATTTTTTTAAGGGGGTGACCTTCACGGACACGAGTCACCCTGTCATGTGTCGGCTGGGAACTTTTTGTATAGAACCTTCAATTTTTCATCCTGACCCTGAGCAACCAAGCGAAAATTCTTATGTACGAATCATCGCGTGAAAATTGAAATCAAGCCAGCCTAGCATGCCCCCTCTTCCCCTCCTCCTAAAAGGATAAATAAAAATATTAGATGGCTTCTTTTTGCGATTACTTGATTTAGACGGATTCACACCGTGAAGCTAAAGCCGTCAAAATGCAATTAAAAACATTTTTGTTCCTACATTGTTTGAGCTCTCTTTGCCGTGTAGACAATCCCCTGTCGTAATTTGCGGGTGAGAGATGGAGTAACATATACACAGACACATCTAAAAATAACCACAAATAACACTCGGAACCAAAGTACGACGTACGTAATCAATATCTAAAACGCACTGCGAAAAGTTTATTTGCTTTATATACGGTGTTCATTTCTACGAATACAAAATGAACGGGCACATTAAAGAGCTTCAGCTGAATATCCGCTGAAGTTTTTCAATGTCTGACCAGGTGGCTATCAGCTGAAAATCAGCGCTACCACAGTGCAAGGTGGAGGAATTCACAAATACTCGTACAACGCTGAGGGGAATTTCTTGGGCACTTGAAGAAAAGAGAAAAAAAATGCAGACACAAATGGGTAACACATTAGTAACCCCTTAGTGCCACAGCCGCGAAAGATTGGTTGATCAATTTTTGTTTCGACTTGCTCAACAGACGATGCATCGCAGCAATGGTATAGTAGCAAGCGTTACAAAATGCCAATCGAAGCCATTTCCACCTTCGTTATTTATCGTGCATGTTAATAGGTTGTACATCTACAAACTTCTCAAAGCACATGCCTTATCGGCAGCCGAGGAAACGTTGGTCGTGGTTCATGTTCATGCTTCTGTCCCCGCGGTTGCTACTTTGGCGTCCTTCTAGGCTAATGCTCAAGTCTCCTTGGCTGGGAAACGATAAGTGTTCATGGACTAGTCGCACTCCGCGATCCTATACTAATATCGAAAAGAAGTCTGCGAGCTCACGTCCCTGCATAGCAGGGTGAAAGCAAACGACGACGAACATTACGCAACTCCCTGTGAATGACGAAACAAGTAATCCGACTAAACCCGAGAGGAGAAAAAAAAATATGCGATGGGGGCAGAGACAAGTAAGCAAAACGTTTCATGCTCACTGTCTCTTCGCACATCACATTTGTTTTTTGGCCTAATTGCATTCTGAGCTTTGTTATTCGCTGGGATCCTAATGTTGTTAACCGTGACTTTTTTTCTTGAGTTCCAAAGGAGAGTGAATTCAGACACTTTTCTTTTAAAGCGCTGTAACAACAGAAGAAAAAAAAAAGAAAGAAAACGAGCACAATGCGGCGTTTAGTAATTTAAGCGGCGGGTGGATCGGATCGGTGTTCGTCCTAAAGCCACGTTCACAGTGTTAATGCATCATAACGGACCTGTACCGATGGTTATATATATATATATATATATATATATATATATATATATATATATATATATATATATATATATATATATATATATATATATATATATATATATGTATAAAACACCTCTCTGAAAACATGTTTGAGGCTTATATGCGTACGAAGGAAACATGGTTCGAACACGCTTGAGGCTTATCCGCCGATAATCGCGTCACCATGGCTGCTGCGAACGCCGTGCCTTTTCTATGAGGTGCGAGCAGCCTGACTGGAGCCTAAGGCGTCCAGCAGCGTCGCCAAGACAACGCCAAAGGTCAGAGCCTGGCGGGAGGCGAAAGGCCGAGAAGGAAACCCTGGCGCGCGTGTACGTCGTCGCGCCTGAGCCGTCCGGTTATTTGACTGCGCCGTCCAACCGGACTCGAGCACGGATCGAAGCCGTACGGGGAGGGGGCGTCTGTCGTCTGAGTCGACGAAAACGAGTAGGCTACATGCAAAGAAAAGAAAGACTGGCGGGGAATGGTCTACTAATGCGAGGAACCGCGGTCCCGGAAGTCCCCTTAATTAAAAAAAGAAAGAAAGAAAGATTTCAAGTGGAGATCACCAGAGCCGATGACTCGAGAATAGAAATGGCGTTCGGCATTTGCGAAGTGGCTTTGGTCATCGATCCCAAACACTCGATTGTGTATTTTTAACCTACGACGTGCAAGCTGAGATATATATCGCAGAGATATGATGACTCGTTGAGGCAAACAAAATAAAGTTATCGGTTTGTTCTCAGTGCTGCTTATAACGTTTGAATGAGCCGAATGTTCTTTTGAAGAAAGGCGAATGTACAAATCTGCATTTGTGGTGACCGGTGTCGCTGGTTAAGGCCGTAAATGAAGGATTCAAATAGAAGCTAGAACTAAAATATGGTTTCTTTTTATTGCCTTCATTTGTTTGTTACGAGGGCTAGACGTTGGAGGAATTGTCAAAATATATTTTGTTCGTTAGAAGTGATTACTTTGGTCTTATTGCCTAAGTATGTTGCTTTACAGTCTCTCTGTCAGCCTTTAAACGAAAGCTGCCAGTAATAATAGTTCCACGCTTTTCACATACTTTGCAATTTCTATCTTACAAGCAGGTGTTCGTCCCTGGGGAATTAGGTGTTATTGCGAGGGAAATTAAGGGAACGCATGCAGACAGCTTGAAGGGGCCGAGGTTACGTGTTAGGCCAACTTGTATAGCTTGCTGCATCATGCCGACGACGACTCATGCTGAGTAGGAGGAATACCGTTCTTACTTAAACACTCTGACCCTTTCAGCGTAATACGACGTGAAACTCCTGCAAGAAAAAGGGAATTAGTTTCACGACGCTAATTGATCTTAGAGCACTCAAAAGGAAAATGGGCTAAAACATATTGCAAATATTTCGGAAACATCCTACTTCCCATGCTGTAAAGGAAGGATTTACGCCCATAGTCATTTCACTAGAGTAACCTATTGACAGTCATTGATTATCAGCGTATTTGTATTTTGAGACAATTAGTTTCTAGGTGACCCTAGTTCTAATTGTACGTTACTATCAGTAGTTAAAATCATTTTCTTACGATTACAAACATGTTTGCATTTAGCTGTAAAACACCTTATCATTTCATACTTGGAAAAACTACTCTTTTGAAAAAATGCGAAATTTGTATACAATCGCGCCTACTGCGTAAGGAATATGCGGTTAAATCGGAATCAAAATATTACCACGTACAACTCTGAGTTTAATTTAAAATAAAATGAAATTACATCACTTTTTTTTTTATTTGAGAGCTACTCGACATCATTAGGAATCATTTGAAGGCGGTGAACCATATTTTTCCCCTAAAACAATTTGATCATAGCGCTCGCTGTCACTGATAGCGCAGGCGGCATTCATGTCCATGCATATGATCAGCTTTGCCATCTGTTGAGATCCTTCCCTAGCTTGCTGCTATTGGCCCTGTCAAGTTTTTTAAGGCAAGGTTTCTCACCCAGACTTTTAAGAGTCTGTCACACCGGCTATACATCATATGGAAGTCAGTCGGAGGACACAATTCAGGTAGGAAGCTTGTGGAGGTGACATCAAACCACCAGAGCTGAGGCCAGAAGCGTAGAGGGACACGCTCCAACGGTAACCAGAATCAAGAGACGCTACTAGACTCGTCACCCGGAAAAACTGCGGGCGCTTCAACACCGCACACATTGTTCATTGTACCATCCCTCCACTACAGGCTCCCGAAAGCTCTAGATAAATGTTTATATTTCTAATGAGAAATGTATATGTATTTCTGATTTCAAGATCCGATTTACGCTCATATTTCATCTTGCTGTTGAATATCTTTGATACAGGCTTCTGTATTTATGTTTTTCACATATTTTTTCAGAGTAGAGCCGTTTTATTGATGTATATTGTGTCACAAGATGTTTCTTGGAGTTACATTTTGTTTCGGAGCTGCAGCCGAGGTGACAAGTTCGCAGACCCTGTCAAGCTGCATTTAGCGGCTCTTTCATTTATTTATTTTTGAATACTGTCAATCCCCCTGGGGGAGTATTACTCCAAAAGTTCCCAAGGTGTCAATCCCCTCGGGGGATTTGTCTGGGAAATCGTTCTCGTGTACGTTTAAAAAAAAAAAAAACTTAATTGAACAATGTCCGAAAATTACAGTGTGCGCAGGTATAACGAGCAAGTGAAACATCATGCTCATTGTCGCATCTGAT